TTTTCTCATTAGTCGCATAAAAGAATGTATCAGTTTCACTTAGTACATTTCATGTCCTTTATTATGAACTTAGCTAATCGTAAATCATCTATGATCAATGTACTCATCCCAGTTCAGAAATCTTTTGTCAGTAGTATATAAACATTGAAAAAAGTCTCCTTGTACAGAAACTTCATACATAGTAGTTAAAATTCAATTTTTTTCATACTAAATATATTTATACATGACCAATATGTCAATCATGCATTGCACGCGATTTGTTTCGCACATGCAAACTGCCTGAGCATACCTCTATTATACGAGTATTGTTATGAAATTTCGCATTTGCCTTTTTTGAAGCTTTGTTTGTCGAGAATGGGAAGTTTCTTCTCTCTGCAAAAAGAACTCGTAAAACCACTTGTACCGAGTATGTTATCTCTATGGACGCCGATAACATTTCCAGATCAAGCAGCACATACATCGGCAAATTAAGGTATAAATTTATTGGAATCAAGACTGGATTCTATTTTCCGTTTATCCATAATCAATACAAAACTAAATATATTGAATCGTTTTCTCAGATCGAATTTTCTCGGCACCAAGTTTGTAATCTACGACACGCAGCCCCCTCACGCATGCTGCCAAGCGGCCCCACCGCCACCCGGGCGTTTGAGCCGCCGCTTCTCCAAGAAAGTTTCTCCTAAGGTCCCGACTGGCAGCTACAACATCGCTCATATCTCGTACGAGCTTAACGTGCTCGGGACGCGGGGCCCACGCCGAATGAACTGCGTCATGCACTCCATCCCTTCCTCGTCCCTCGACCCGGGCGGCGTGGTCCCCTGCCGGCCAGAGCTCCTCCTCCCGAGGCCCCTCGACGACTCTTTCCGCAGCCTCTCCTTCTCCAAGTCCCTCGACCGATCGACTGAGTTCAGCAGCGCCCGTTTTTTGGATACTGGACTCGCGGCCGTGTGCCCAGATGATGATGACGGGTCCAAGTCCTCCTTGCCGCCTTTGGTGCTCAAGAACAAGTCTCCAAGGTGGCACGAGCAGCTGCAGTGCTGGTGCCTGAATTTCCGTGGGCGGGTGACGGTGGCGTCTGTGAAGAATTTCCAGCTGATTGCCGCTGGTGGGGCGGCGGCGGTGGTGGGGGGCTCGCAGGTGGCAGGGCAGCAGCAGTCCGATCACGACAAGATTATTCTGCAGTTTGGTAAGGTGGGAAAGGATATGTTCACGATGGATTATAGGTACCCGTTGTCGGCTTTTCAGGCCTTCGCTATATGCCTGAGTAGCTTCGACACCAAACTGGCTTGTGAATAGAGTGTGGAGATTTGATTTTCTCAGGTTTTCTTTTTTTTTTTTACTGTAGTTCAAGAACAGCAGCTGTGTATGTGATTTGTAGTTCGAGATCTGAATTACTGTATAGTTTTCCTGTTCTTCATTGAAAAGTGATATTATTATTATTATTATTATTATTATTATTATTATTATTATTATTATTATTATTATTATTATTATTATTATTATTATTATTATTATTATTATTATTATTCATGTTTTTCTTTGTTTTATGTTGTTGATTATAAGGAAAAACGGTAGCAATAAATGAAAAGGAGACTCTATGCAATAATGTCTGTTCCACTGTTTTGGGTAGCTTCTGTGTTTAGGTTATTCTATATTCACCAAAAGTTATGATTGACGAGTGGCGTAATTGTAGGAATGGAATATACGCGGTATGCATAGACGTGCTCACTTTGCCTGCCCGCCTCTTGTTCAATGGTTTTGGAACCGGCCCGAACCATTGACTATGGTTCATGAACCGGCTCGTCATTTCGTGCGGGCTGGTTCGGTTCACAAATTTTAAGAACATTGAACCACTTGTGCCAGGTTCCTACATAGAACCAAAACCGACTTATTTGTTCAATGTCTTTTTCCAAATTTTAAATTTTTTCGCCGATCTCCAATAATCATATTTTTAAAATCGACCACTGGATCTTGTGATTGTTGGATGTCCAATAGGCAGGATTAAACTGAACTGTTTGAACCGTCGGTGCCCTAAACCGGCGGTTTTTACCAAGTTAAGGAAAAAAAAAGTCATACTTTTTTCCTATAAATATCCCTCCCCCTCCCCCATTTCACCTCTTCATTTTTTCCTATCGAATATTCAGCAAACCCGAGCAGCCTCTAGAAACAGGTACATCACCCCTATATATAAGGGTGAGCTTTACATTTTGAGCATGATTTACCCATTTTTAAATTTGAGAATTGAGTAGAGTTTATACTGACTTAAGCATCGGAGGCTCTTCACCGAAAAATCCCTCCGGTGTGAGTTATTTTCAGGTACGCGGGGTTCTACCGGCGAGGAGGAAGAAGGCGAGTCAAAAATACTCGATATATAAAATAATAATAATAATAATCAAAACAACATATAAGATTTCGTACCGAATTGATATTGGATCTCGTTCGGTTTCTTGCAATCTGGTAGACGTTTCTGTGCAATTACTATAACCATGTTGTGCACTCGCAATCACAATACATATAAAAATATATATATAAGGAATAGTATTATTTTTTATTAATAATATAAATAAAAAAGAATTGATAATATTTTTCATAAGACCGGCATGTTCAGTTATTTTATTTAGTTAAATAGACTAAATTCGACATTTAACCAATTAACATTATTCGATTTTATTTAATTAAATAGATTAAATTCGACATTTAACCAATTAATATTATTCGATCGATTAACAGAATTACCGTATTTTTTTTTGTATGTGTAGCGTGCTGTTTTATAAGGTGCAACGTATTTCTGTACAAAGTGCAATATATTGATAAATAAAGTGCAATTATGTAGATCCATTTTTTAGATTTATATCATGTAATATTTTTTGCGAGAGCGTTCACATTAATTGCGGAGTGTGTTGATAAAGTGCAATGTGTCGTCTTATAAAGTACAACGTGTTGTTTTATAAAGTGCAACATTCGTTATATAACGTGCACTAATTTATACCTTCACATATAAATCATATGTATTCGAAAACTTATTAATATATATAATTGTATGTCGAAATTAACTTAAATCATTAAAATATCTTTTTATTTATTATATTTATTGTATAATTTACTCATTATTATAAAATATTCTTATGTTATTTTAATATTAGACATTATTGTTATTTAACAATTTATTTATTATTTCATATATATGCATAACAAATTATACAAAAAATAATTTCTTATTGACTTTCAATAATTACATTTTTGACACATAGGTTAAATTGATATATACTTACAATTATTAAAATAGCAAATAGACTCCTGCACATAATCTAATTCTCAAAAATATGCTCAATCCAACAATCCATTTTCAGTTTTTATATTGCCAGTATCATCACCTCTCCAAATTCTTCTTCAACCACTACCCACCCGCCATGGACCAGCCCTCTCCGGTCACGACATTCGGTATTCATGGCTGCAACGACGTTTCCGTTTGTCTTGGTGCTTCTCCGCCGCGACATATACTCCGTCTCTAACTCACAGTCGGGCCGATGAAATCGACGCGACCTGTGCGAGCTTTTGCAACCACCGACGGTGGATTCCCGACGGCCGCGACCTATTGTCGGAGTGTGTCAGCAATGACTGCAACGATCGGAGCTTTCTGGTGGAGGTGGATGACGACAACTGATTGGAGCTCTTTCACGTCCGGCAGCGCGACTGTGTCTGGTGGAGATGTGGCGACCCTTCAGGTATTTTGGCGACAACGCGACTGTGTATGGTGGCAGCAACATAGGGGGTGGTTGTCGGCGATGGCGGGAGGCCGACCTATGGTTGTGACGTAGGTTGAGATGGAGATATGCCGGAACCGGCGAGGAGGTCACGGCGGTACTGCCTCGTTACTCTTTGTGTGTGTGTAATTGTGAGAGAAAGAGAGAGAGAGAGGGGGGTAGTTGGGGTGGTTGGTAAA